TCAAATGATGTGATTATTATTTTGAATGGTTGAATGAAGCCTGATGAGCTGTACAGGCCGAAGGCGCTGCTGGCCATGGTCTCTCATCTGCTGCTCCACCAGTGGCACACTGTGGTCCTGTGCCTGTTGTGGAGAACCGAGCCAGGACCATGTGGCACACTTGTACCAGGAGGTACCAGAGCGTACCCCCTACATGTCCCAGAGCCTGATCAGACCCGCGCAGCGCTCCACGGTGGTGTCTTTGCTTGGACCCGCATGAACCAAAGCCGTTACGCACTGATTGTAGGAGCAGACTAAGTTTGACATGTTGCATGTTATTTAATAACACAAACTAGCCCTAACATAACATCGTAAAGTTTCATATTTGTAATGTGAGAGATGTGCCTATAATGTTGTCAAAGTGGGAATATGTTTATTTTTGTCCAAATCTTGTGTGTTTTGGCGTGTTGTAATGAAGGTTGAAATGAGCGTACACATTTACACCACCTCCAGACCTGGCGTATATTTTTTGCGTATCGTACGCTCACGTCCAGATTGATAAATGCTGAAAAGTGTAAATATTTTTAGTGTGTTACACCCTGATTTGGCCGAACGCAAGTTTCATAAATGAGGCCCATTGAGAGGTCACAGAACTAGAACTGTACTGAAACAAAACAACATGCTTCTGTCTGCAACAGTAAAAACTCATTATTATATCTTTAGTTCATTCAAAATCTCAATATTCATCACTTACATGTTACGTGACAATTACAGGACCATTTTGTTTTGTCCCCTTTAAGTTATAGGAAAAAAAACAATTGACTTCATGGTGTGAGAATTTTGCATTTTCGGCAAAGCAACAACAAAAAAACACATACTGTGCGCTTTTAATAAAAGAAGAACGCACTTTTGGCTTAAAGAATCAAGTGTGTCGTACCTCAAATCTTAAAACATTCACAATCAAATCCACAAAAAATACAAAAATGTCTTTTGTTTATAAAACAGTCCAAAATACGTTTGGTGAGTCTTCAAAATGTTTGATCACAGTCAAAAACAAAGACATTTTTGAAAATACTTTGATCCCTTTATAATTCTCTTAACACATGAACAAGTTTATAAAATATGAGGTAATAAAGTTCTGTCAACAGCAGCTTTAAGTGTGCGCTCCACTCCTGCCACCAGGGGGCAGTGTAAGACCGGGCTGTGACTCTATTAGCCCTGAATGAAATATACTTTATCTCATCTGAGTCGCCCACATTGGCTCAGTTGGTAGAGCATTGGCCTCTGAGCCTGAAGGTTGTAGGTTCGAGACCTTCTCCAACCGACTTCCACTGACGTCTGCTGTGGGTGTGGGCCTCAACCCCACCCTGACTGAAGCCCACCCTGCCTCAACCCCACCCTGACTGAAGCCCACCCTGCCTTAACCCCACCCTGCCTTAACCCCACCCTGCCTGAAGCCCACCATGCCTTAACCCCACCCTGCCTTAACCCCACCATGCCTTAACCCCACCCTGCCTGAAGCCCACCCTGCCTTAACCCCACCATGCCTTAACCCCACCCTGACTGAAGCCCATCCTGCCTTAACCCCACCCTGCCTTAACCCCACCCTGCCTGAAGCCCACCCTGCCTTAACCCCACCCTGCCTTAACCCCACCCTGCCTGAAGCCCACCCTGCCTTAACCCCACCCTGCCTGAAGCCCACCCTGCCTTAACCCCACCATGCCTTAACCCCACCCTGCCTGAAGCCCACCCTGCCTTAACCCCACCCTGCCTGAAGCCCACCCTGCCTTAACCCCACCCTGCCTTAACCCCACCCTGCCTGAAGCCCACCCTACCTTAACCCCACCCTGCCTGAAGCCCACCCTGCCTTAACCCCACCCTGCCTGAAGCCCACCCTGCCTTAACCCCACCCTGCCTTAACCCCACCCTGCCTGAAGCCCACCCTGCCTTAACCCCACCCTGCCTTAACCCCACCCTGCCTGAAGCCCACCCTACCTTAACCCCACCCTGCCTGAAGCCCACCCTGCCTTAACCCCACCCTGCCTTAACCCCACCATGCCTTAACCCCACCATGCCTTAACCCCACCCTGCCTGAAGCCCACCCTGCCTTAACCCCACCCTGCCTGAAGCCCACCCTGCCTTAACCCCACCCTGCCTTAACCCCACCCTGCCTTAACCCCACCCTGCCTTAACCCCACCCTGCCTGAAGCCCACCCTGCCTTAACCCCACCCTGCCTGAAGCCCACCCTGCCTTAACCCCACCCTGCCTTAACCCCACCCTGCCTTAACCCCACCCTGCCTGAAGCCCACCCTGCCTTAACCCCACCCTGCCTGAAGCCCACCCTGCCTTAACCCCACCCTGCCTTAACCCCACCCTGCCTGAAGCCCACCCTGCCTGAAGCCCACCCTGCCTTAACCCCACCCTGCCTTAACCCCACCCTGCCTGAAGCCCACCCTGCCTTAACCCCACCCTGCCTTAACCCCACCCTGCCTGAAGCCCACCCTACCTTAACCCCACCCTGCCTGAAGCCCACCCTGCCTTAACCCCACCCTGCCTTAACCCCACCATGCCTTAACCCCACCATGCCTTAACCCCACCCTGCCTGAAGCCCACCCTGCCTTAACCCCACCCTGCCTGAAGCCCACCCTGCCTTAACCCCACCCTGCCTTAACCCCACCCTGCCTTAACCCCACCATGCCTTAACCCCACCCTGCCTGAAGCCCACCCTGCCTTAACCCCACCCTGCCTGAAGCCCACCCTGCCTTAACCCCACCCTGCCTTAACCCCACCCTGCCTTAACCCCACCCTGCCTGAAGCCCACCCTGCCTTAACCCCACCCTGCCTGAAGCCCACCCTGCCTTAACCCCACCCTGCCTTAACCCCACCCTGCCTGAAGCCCACCCTGCCTGAAGCCCACCCTGACTGAAGCCCACCCTGCCTTAACCCCACCCTGCCTTAACCCCACCATGCCTTAACCCCACCATGCCTTAACCCCACCATGCCTTAACCCCACCCTGCCTGAAGCCCACCCTGCCTTAACCCCACCCTGCCTGAAGCCCACCCTGCCTTAACCCCACCCTGCCTTAACCCCACCCTGCCTTAACCCCACCCTGCCTTAACCCCACCCTGCCTGAAGCCCACCCTGCCTTAACCCCACCCTGCCTGAAGCCCACCCTGCCTTAACCCCACCCTGCCTTAACCCCACCCTGCCTTAACCCCACCCTGCCTGAAGCCCACCCTGCCTTAACCCCACCCTGCCTGAAGCCCACCCTGCCTTAACCCCACCCTGCCTTAACCCCACCCTGCCTGAAGCCCACCCTGCCTGAAGCCCACCCTGACTGAAGCCCACCCTGCCTTAACCCCACCCTGACTGAAGCCCACCCTGCCTTAACCCCACCCTGCCTTAACCCCACCCCAACCCCATCATCACTGAGAAGCCTCCTGTGGACTCAACAGCAGCTCTGACCACCCCCCCAACTCAGACATGGATTAAGGGGAAGAAGAAGATGGCTGGCAGGATGTTGGAATAAGTTATGGAGTTACTTGTACCATCTTTAAATACAATCTAAAGTTTGCGCACAGCTTTTAACAACAAACACTGTGTTAATCTTTGGTTGTATTGAGCGTCTCAAATGTAGAGGTTTTTAATCATCAGAGGATAAAGAATCATCCACGACTACAACTAAAGACTCCAGGCTGTCAGTAATGCTGGAGGAGCGATACACTCGAGTACTTTGGGTACTTTGAGTACTTTGGGGGTGGAGACTTCTGATCAGGGTCAGGCCAGGAGCTTCTAATGTCATTATCATCTGATCATATCATATATATATGTATATATATATGTATATATATATATATATATATATGTATATATATATATATATATGTATTATATATATATATTATATATAAAGTATATATATATATATATATGTATATATATATATATATACGTATATATATATATACATATATATATATATATATATATATATATACATATATATATATATATAATATATATATATATGTATATATATACATATTATATACATATATATATATATATACATATATATATATATATGTATATATATATACGTATATATATATATATATATACGTATATATATATATATATATATATATATATGTGGTGGAACTTAAAATACTGTAGAAAATACACGTTTAGTCTAAACCGTATACCAGTTATGTTGACGTTTTGCTTTTCTTTACTTTATAAGTAAAGTTGAAGTGTTTTGAGTATAACAGGACCCAGATATCGACAGATGGACATTTATTTCACCTTTGTTTAAGCTCTTTTCCGGGGAGTCCTGGAGACTTCTTTGGTGACTTTCTAAACTAGTGCTTTTCGACCACACAGAAGGAGGCTAGTCGAAGCTCCACGGAAACCTACGTCTGACATGACTTTAAAGAACACATTGTATGTTTTATGTCTTAATATTTACTTAAAATGTTTTTAGTCAAATAAAGTTGTGCTTGCAGGGTGACACGCCCAGGCACAAATGGTGATTATGAATGTTAATAAATAATAATGATGATAGAAACTCATCTTCCGGCCCTGATCAGAAGTCTCCATCCCCCAGTCCTCTATAGCCATGTTAAACTTTAAACTGTCCCCTTTAACATCTACGGCAGCTTGGAGGCTTTATGTTCATGTGGAAGAGGTTCTTTTTCCTTTCTGATGATAAAAAGCAGCCTGTTCATATTGGAAAAAGCCTCCAGTTCCTGTAAATTCCTGGGCTGCTTTGCATGCACTGCACATTTGAGATCTCCAGTCATTTTATTGACAATAAAAGGTTTCACACAACCACAAGTTGAGTGAAAATAAGTGTGTGTCATCATCATGATCTTTTCTGCCTGTGTTTAAACATTCCTCTTTCAGCGGCAGAAGTGGAAACTTACATTCTGCGTTAAAGCACCATGGTGCAACCACTGGACTCCAGCCCCCGGTCTCCAAGACGTCTGCCCCTTCAAACGAACGGCCTGTGCTCACACCATGGAGGTCCCCCTTCAAACAAACGGCCTGTGCTCACACCACAGAGGTCCCCCTTCAAACGAACGGCCTGTGCTCACACCATGGAGGTCCCCCTTCAAACAAACGGCCTGTGCTCACACCACAGAGGTCCCCCTTCAAACGAACGGCCTGTGCTCACACCACAGAGGTCCCCCTTCAAACGAACGGCCTGTGCTCACACCACGGAGGTCCCCCTTCAAACGAACGGCCTGTGCTCACACCACAGAGGTCCCCCTTCAAACGAACGGCCTGTGCTCACACCACAGAGGTCCCCCTTCAAACGAACGGCCTGTGCTCACACCACAGAGGTCCCCCTTCAAACGAACGGCCTGTGCTCACACCACAGAGGTCCCCCTTCAAACGAACGGCCTGTGCTCACACCACAGAGGTCCCCCTTCAAACGAACGGCCTGTGCTCACACCACAGAGGTCCCCCTTCAAACGAACGGCCTGTGCTCACACCACAGAGGTCCCCCTTCAAACGAACGGCCTGTGCTCACACCACAGAGGTCCCCCTTCAAACGAACGGCCTGTGCTCACACCACAGAGGTCCCCCTTCAAACGAACGGCCTGTGCTCACACCACAGAGGTCCCCCTTCAAACGAACGGCCTGTGCTCACACCACAGAGGTCCCCCTTCAAACGAACGGCCTGTGCTCACACCACAGAGGTCCCCCTTCAAACGAACGGCCTGTGCTCACACCACAGAGGTCCCCCTTCAAACGAACGGCTGTGCTCACACCACAGAGGTCCCCCTTCAAACGAACGGCCTGTGCTCACACCACAGAGGTCCCCCTTCAAACGAACGGCCTGTGCTCACACCACAGAGGTCCCCTTCAAACGAACGGCCTGTGCTCACACCACAGAGGTCCCCCTTCAAACGAACGGCCTGTGCTCACACCACAGAGGTCCCCCTTCAAACGAACGGCCTGTGCTCACACCACAGAGGTCCCCCTTCAAACGAACGGCCTGTGCTCACACCACAGAGGTCCCCCTTCAAACGAACGGCCTGTGCTCACACCACAGAGGTCCCCCTTCAAACAGAAACGGCCTGTGCTCACACCACAGAGGTCCCCCTTCAAACGAACGGCCTGTGCTCACACCACAGAGGTCCCCCTTCAAACGAACGGCCTGTGCTCACACCACAGAGGTCCCCCTTCAAACGAACGGCCTGTGCTCACACCACAGAGGTCCCCTTCAAACGAACGGCCTGTGCTCACACCACAGAGGTCCCCCTTCAAACGAACGGCCTGTGCTCACACCACAGAGGTCCCCCTTCAAACGAACGGCCTGTGCTCACACCACAGAGGTCCCCCTTCAAACGAACGGCCTGTGCTCACACCACAGAGGTCCCCCTTCAAACGAACGGCCTGTGCTCACACCACAGAGGTCCCCCTTCAAACGAACGGCCTGTGCTCACACCACAGAGGTCCCCCTTCAAACGAACGGCCTGTGCTCACACCACAGAGGTCCCCCTTCAAACGAACGGCCTGTGCTCACACCACGGAGGTCCCCCTTCAAACGAACGGCCTGTGCTCACACCACAGAGGTCCCCCTTCAAACGAACGGCCTGTGCTCACACCACGGAGGTCCCCCTTCAAACGAACGGCCTGTGCTCACACCACAGAGGTCCCCCTTCAAACGAACGGCCTGTGCTCACACCACGGAGGTCCCCCTTCAAACGAACGGCCTGTGCTCACACCACGGAGGTCCCCGACTTTAGAAGACGTCACGCTCGCACACGTTGCTCATGTGCACAGCGGGACACGTGAGCGTTCTGACCAATCCGTGAGCAGCTTATCAGAGCAGAGCAGGAGAAGAGCAGGTCACGTTGCTCTAAAGTGGATTGATAAAAAACCAATGGATTTAAAAAGGAATCTACAGGCGCACTAGAGACAGGCAAATAGAAAGGTTCTGGATTTCTTGTTTGAGGAGATCAATAATGGGAAGTGCATTCAAAAAATGATCTAAATGTATCAATGGAACCATATTCTAGTTTCCCATTCCTAGCTGAAAAAACATTCTGTCCAAAGTGCACCAGTCCGGTCCAAATGGATGTGAACACACCCAAAATCCTTTTCATTTGTTTTTTATCTCCCTTAAAGTAAAGTAAGGGTCTTTTCTTCACATGTGTGGTCAGGAAGTTCAGATCAACTTCCTGAATGTTAATTTACGGGTAAAGTAAATGTTCAGGTAAGTTCTATAATGTGTTTGTGCTGAGGCCTCTGGAGGAGCACAGTGCCTGGGCACCCATATCCAGATGTGGAGCTGGAGGAGATTAGCTAAAGATGCAGCATGTTCTGTGCAGTCGTAGTCCTACTGCAGCCATTGTCAGTCCATTTTCCTGTTTTGGGGTCTCGTGTGGGGATGATGACCTCACTGGCCCGGCACATACGGCCAGCTGATGGAGCTTCCTGACAGCTGCATGTCCCGGATCAGAGTCTCGATGGGCGTCTTCCCGACCAACCTCATGAAGAAGAGCTGGGAGATGAGGTTGGCGGGCACGGCACGCAGGGCAGGCAGGCGCAGCAGCAGGCGGCCGAAGCGCTGGGGCTGGTTGGGGTACTGATGGCGCTCGTACTCTGTCAGAGCCACCTGGGCCTTCTCCTGCAGCGACTCCACGTGGGCAGGGTCCGTCAGGCCACATGCGTCTGTGACAAGAGACATGTTTACATGTTTACATGTTTACATGTTTACATGTTTACATGTTTACATGTTTACATGTTTACATGGGAAGAACATCTGTAGACTGCATAGTTTATTATGAAAGAGACAATGCACTTTTTCTCCAGGCTCCAGTTTCTCTGAGCAGAGAAAAGGCTTTTGTATAAAGTGTGCTCAACACTATCTGCAACAATCAGGTCTTTGGAGCGAGTCTGAGGTCTCTTTGGAGCGAGTCTGGGGTCTCTTTGGAGCGAGTCTGGGGTCTCTTTGGAGCGAGTCTGGGGTCTCTTTGGAGCGAGTCTGGGGTCTCTTTGGAGCGAGTCTGGGGTCTCTTTGGAGCGGGTCTGGGGTCTCTTTGGAGCGAGTCTGGGGTCTCTTTGGAGCGAGTCTGGGGTCTCTTTGGAGCGGGTCTGGGGTCTCTTTGGAGCGAGTCTGGGGTCTCTTTGGAGCGAGTCTGGGGTCTCTGGAGCAGGTCTGGGGTCTCTTTGGAGCGAGTCTGGGGTCTCTTTGGAGCAGGTCTGGGGTCTCTTTGGAGCAGGTCTGGGGTCTCTTTGGAGCGAGTCTGGGGTCTCTTTGGAGCGAGTCTGGGGTCTCTTTGGAGCGAGTCTGGGGTCTCTTTGGAGCGGGTCTGGGGTCTCTTTGGAGCAGGTCTGGGGTCTCTTTGGAGCGGTCTGGGGTCTCTTTGGAGCGGGTCTGGGGTCTCTTTGGAGCGAGTCTGGGGTCTCTTTGGAGCGAGTCTGGGTCTCTTTGGAGCGAGTCTGGGGTCTCTTTGGAGCGGGTCTGGGGTCTCTTTGGAGCGGGTCTGGGGTCTCTTTGGAGCAGGTCTGGGGTCTCTTTGGAGCGAGTCTGGGGTCTCTTTGGAGCGGGTCTGGGGTCTCTTTGGAGCGAGTCTGGGGTCTCTTTGGAGCGAGTCTGGGGTCTCTTTGGAGCGAGTCTGGGGTCTCTTTGGAGCGGGTCTGAGGTCTCTTTGGAGCGAGTCTGGGGTCTCTTTGGAGCGGGTCTGGGGTCTCTTTGGAGCGAGTCTGGGGTCTCTTTGGAGCGAGTCTGGGGTCTCTTTGGAGCGAGTCTGGGGTCTCTTTGGAGCGGGTCTGGGGTCTCTTTGGAGCGAGTCTGGGGTCTCTTTGGAGCGGGTCTGGGGTCTCTTTGGAGCGAGTCTGGGGTCTCTTTGGAGCAGAGCGGGTCTGGGGTCTCTTTGGAGCGAGGTCTGGGGTCTCTTTGGAGCGAGTCTGGGGTCTCTTTGGAGCGAGTCTGGGGTCTCTTTGGAGCGGGTCTGGGGTCTCTTTGGAGCGGGTCTGGGGTCTCTTTGGAGCGAGTCTGGGGTCTCTTTGGAGCAGAGCAGGTCTGGGGTCTCTTTGGAGCGGGTCTGGGGTCTCTTTGGAGCGAGTCTGGGGTCTCTTTGGAGCGGGTCTGGGGTCTCTTTGGAGCGAGTCTGGGGTCTCTTTGGAGCGAGTCTGGGGTCTCTTTGGAGCGGGTCTGGGGTCTCTTTGGAGCGAGTCTGGGGTCTCTTTGGAGCGTCTGGGGTCTCTTTGGAGCGGGTCTGGGGGGTCTCTTTGGAGCGGGTCTGGGGTCTCTTTGGAGCGAGTCTGGGGTCTCTTTGGAGCGGTCTGGGGTCTCTTTGGAGCGGTCTGGTGGTCTGGGGTCTCTTTGGAGCGAGTCTGGGGTCTCTTTGGAGCGGGTCTGGGGTCTCTTTGGAGCGAGTCTGGGGTCTCTTTGGAGCAGAGCGGGTCTGGGGTCTCTTTGGAGCGAGTCTGGGGTCTCTTTGGAGCGAGTCTGGGGTCTCTTTGGAGCAGAGCGGGTCTGGGGTCTCTTTGGAGCGGGTCTGGGGTCTCTTTGGAGCGAGCGGGTCTGGGGTCTCTTTGGAGCGAGGTCTGGGGTCTCTTTGGAGCGGGTCTGGGGTCTCTTTGGAGCGCGAGTCTGGGGTCTCTTTGGAGCAGGTCTGGGGTCTCTTTGGAGCGAGTCTGGGGTCTCTTTGGAGCGAGTCTGGGGTCTCTTTGGAGCGAGTCTGGGGTCTCTTTGGAGCGGGTCTGGGGTCTCTTTGGAGCAGGTCTGGGGTCTCTTTGGAGCAGGTCTGGGGTCTCTTTGGAGCGAGTCTGGGGTCTCTTTGGAGCGAGTCTGGGGTCTCTTTGGAGCGGGTCTGGGGTCTCTTTGGAGCGGGTCTGGGGTCTCTTTGGAGCGAGTCTGGGGTCTCTTTGGAGCGAGTCTGGGGTCTCTTTGGAGCGAGTCTGGGGTCTCTTTGGAGCAGGTCTGGGGTCTCTTTGGAGCGGGTCTGGGGTCTCTTTGGAGCGAGTCTGGGGTCTCTTTGGAGCGGGTCTGGGGTCTCTTTGGAGCGGGTCTGGGGTCTCTTTGGAGCGAGTCTGGGGTCTCTTTGGAGCGAGTCTGGGGTCTCTTTGGAGCGAGTCTGGGGTCTCTTTGGAGCGAGTCTGGGGTCTCTTTGGAGCGAGTCTGGGGTCTCTTTGGAGCAGGTCTGGGGTCTCTTTGGAGCGAGTCTGGGGTCTCTTTGGAGCGGTCTGGGGTCTCTTTGGAGCGAGTCTGGGGTCTCTTTGGAGCGGGTCTGGGGTCTCTTTGGAGCGAGTCTGGGGTCTCTTTGGAGCGAGTCTGGGGTCTCTTTGGAGCGAGTCTGGGGTCTCTTTGGAGCGAGTCTGGGGTCTCTTTGGAGCGGGTCTGGGGTCTCTTTGGAGCGAGTCTGGGGTCTCTTTGGAGCGAGTCTGGGGTCTCTTTGGAGCGAGTCTGGGGTCTCTTTGGAGCGAGTCTGGGGTCTCTTTGGAGCGAGTCTGGGGTCTCTTTGGAGCAGGTCTGGGGTCTCTTTGGAGCGAGTCTGGGGTCTCTTTGGAGCGAGTCTGGGGTCTCTTTGGAGCGAGTCTGGGGTCTCTTTGGAGCGAGTCTGGGGTCTCTTTGGAGCGAGTCTGGGGTCTCTTTGGAGCGAGTCTGGGGTCTCTTTGGAGCGAGTCTGGGGTCTCTTTGGAGCGAGTCTGGGGTCTCTTTGGAGCGAGTCTGGGGTCTCTTTGGAGCAGGTCTGGGGTCTCTTTGGAGCGAGTCTGGGGTCTCTTTGGAGCAGGTCTGGGGTCTCTTTGGAGCGAGTCTGGGGTCTCTTTGGAGCAGGTCTGGGGTCTCTTTGGAGCGAGTCTGGGGTCTCTTTGGAGCGAGTCTGGGGTCTCTTTGGAGCGAGTCTGGGGTCTCTTTGGAGCGAGTCTGGGGTCTCTTTGGAGCGAGTCTGGGGTCTCTTTGGAGCGAGGTCTGGGGTCTCTTTGGAGCAGGTCTGGGGTCTCTTTGGAGCGAGTCTGGGTCTCTTTGGAGCGAGTCTGGGGTCTCTTTGGAGCGAGTCTGGGGTCTCTTTGGAGCGAGTCTGGGGTCTCTTTGGAGCAGGTCTGGGGTCTCTTTGGAGCGAGTCTGGGGTCTCTTTGGAGCGAGTCTGGGGTCTCTTTGGAGCGAGTCTGGGGTCTCTTTGGAGCGAGTCTGGGGTCTCTTTGGAGCGGGTCTGGGGTCTCTTTGGAGCGAGTCTGGGGTCTCTTTGGAGCGAGGTCTGGGGTCTCTTTGGAGCGAGTCTGGGGTCTCTTTGGAGCAGGTCTGGGGTCTCTTTGGAGCGAGTCTGGGGTCTCTTTGGAGCGAGGTCTGGGGTCTCTTTGGAGCGAGTCTGGGGTCTCTTTGGAGCGAGTCTGGGGTCTCTTTGGAGCAGGTCTGGGGTCTCTTTGGAGCGGGTCTGGGGTCTCTTTGGAGCGGGTCTGGGGTCTCTTTGGAGCAGGTCTGGGGTCTCTTTGGAGCGGTCTGGGGTCTCTTTGGAGCGAGTCTGGGGTCTCTTTGGAGCGAGTCTGGGGTCTCTTTGGAGCGGTCTGGGGTCTCTTTGGAGCGGGTCTGGGGTCTCTTTGGAGCGGGTCTGGGGTCTCTTTGGAGCGGGTCTGGGGTCTCTTTGGAGCGAGTCTGGGGTCTCTTTGGAGCGGTCTGGGGTCTCTTTGGAGCGAGTCTGGGGTCTCTTTGGAGCGAGTCTGGGGTCTCTTTGGAGCGAGTCTGGGGTCTCTTTGGAGCGGGTCTGGGGTCTCTTTGGAGCAGGTCTGGGGTCTCTTTGGAGCGAGTCTGGGGTCTCTTTGGAGCAGGTCTGGGGTCTCTTTGGAGCGAGTCTGGGGTCTCTTTGGAGCGAGTCTGGGGTCTCTTTGGAGCGAGTCTGGGGTCTCTTTGGAGCAGGTCTGGGGTCTCTTTGGAGCGGGTCTGGGGTCTCTTTGGAGCGGGTCTGGGGTCTCTTTGAAGCGAGTCTGGGGTCTCTTTGGAGCGAGTCTGGGGTCTCTTTGGAGCGAGTCTGGGGTCTCTTTGGAGCAGGTCTGGGGTCTCTTTGGAGCAGGTCTGGGGTCTCTTTGGAGCGAGTCTGGGGTCTCTTTGGAGCGAGTCTGGGGTCTCTTTGGAGCGGGTCTGGGGTCTCTTTGGAGCGAGTCTGGGGTCTCTTTGGAGCGAGTCTGGGGTCTCTTTGGAGCAGGTCTGGGGTCTCTTTGGAGCGAGTCTGGGGTCTCTTTGGAGCAGGTCTGGGGTCTCTTTGGAGCGAGTCTGGGGTCTCTTTGGAGCGGGTCTGGGGTCTCTTTGGAGCGGGTCTGGGGTCTCTTTGGAGCGGGTCTGGGGTCTCTTTGGAGCGAGTCTGGGGTCTCTTTGGAGCGAGTCTGGGGTCTCTTTGGAGCGAGTCTGGGGTCTCTTTGGAGCGAGTCTGGGGTCTCTTTGGAGCAGGTCTGGGGTCTCTTTGGAGCGGGTCTGAGGTCTCTTTGGAGCGAGTCTGGGGTCTCTTTGGAGCGGGTCTGAGGTCTCTTTGGAGCGAGTCTGGGGTCTCTTTGGAGCGGGTCTGGGGTCTCTTTGGAGCAGGTCTGGGGTCTCTTTGGAGCGAGTCTGGGGTCTCTTTGGAGCGGGTCTGGGGTCTCTTTGGAGCGGGTCTGGGGTCTCTTTGGAGCAGGTCTGGGGTCTCTTTGGAGCAGGTCTGGGGTCTCTTTGGAGCGAGTCTGGGGTCTCTTTGGAGCGAGTCTGGGGTCTCTTTGGAGCGGGTCTGAGGTCTCTTTGGAGCGGGTCTGGGGTCTCTTTGGAGCAGGTCTGGGGTCTCTTTGGAGCGAGTCTGGGGTCTCTTTGGAGCGGGTCTGAGGTCTCTTTGGAGCGAGTCTGGGGTCTCTTTGGAGCGAGTCTGGGGTCTCTTTGGAGCAGGTCTGGGGTCTCTTTGGAGCGAGTCTGGGGTCTCTTTGGAGCAGGTCTGGGGTCTCTTTGGAGCGAGTCTGGGGTCTCTTTGGAGCGAGTCTGGGGTCTCTTTGGAGCGGGTCTGGGGTCTCTTTGGAGCGGGTCTGGGGTCTCTTTGGAGCGGTTGGGGTCTCTTTGGAGCGAGTCTGGGGTCTCTTTGGAGCGAGTCTGGGGTCTCTTTGGAGCGAGTCTGGGGTCTCTTTGGAGCGGGTCTGGGGTCTCTTTGGAGCGAGTCTGGGGTCTCTTTGGAGCGGGTCTGGGGTCTCTTTGGAGCGAGTCTGGGGTCTCTTTGGAGCGAGTCTGGGGTCTCTTTGGAGCGAGTCTGGGGTCTCTTTGGAGCGAGTCTGGGGTCTCTTTGGAGCGAGTCTGGGGTCTCTTTGGAGCGAGTCTGGGGTCTCTTTGGAGCGAGTCTGGGGTCTCTTTGGAGCGGGTCTGGGGTCTCTTTGGAGCGAGTCTGGGGTCTCTTTGGAGCGGGTCTGGGGTCTCTTTGGAGCGAGTCTGGGGTCTCTTTGGAGCAGGGTCTGGGGTCTCTTTGGAGCGAGTCTGGGGTCTCTTTGGAGCGAGTCTGGGGTCTCTTTGGAGCGAGTCTGGGGTCTCTTTGGAGCGAGTCTGGGGTCTCTTTGGAGCGAGTCTGGGGTCTCTTTGGAGCGAGTCTGGGGTCTCTTTGGAGCGGGTCTGGGGTCTCTTTGGAGCGAGGTCTGGGGTCTCTTTGGAGCGAGTCTGGGGTCTCTTTGGAGCGAGTCTGGGGTCTCTTTGGAGCGAGTCTGGGGTCTCTTTGGAGCGGTCTGGGGTCTCTTTGGAGCGAGTCTGGGGTCTCTTTGGAGCGAGTCTGGGGTCTCTTTGGAGCGAGTCTGGGGTCTCTTTGGAGCGAGTCTGGGGTCTCTTTGGAGCGAGGTCTGGGGTCTCTTTGGAGCGGGTCTGGGGTCTCTTTGGAGCGAGTCTGGGGTCTCTTTGGAGCGAGTCTGGGGTCTCTTTGGAGCGAGTCTGGGGTCTCTTTGGAGCGGGTCTGGGGTCTCTTTGGAGCGAGTCTGGGGTCTCTTTGGAGCGAGTCTGGGGTCTCTTTGGAGCGAGTCTGGGGTCTCTTTGGAGCGAGTCTGGGGTCTCTTTGGGAGCGAGTCTGGGGTCTCTTTGGAGCGAGTCTGGGGTCTCTTTGGAGCGAGTCTGGGGTCTCTTTGGAGCGAGTCTGGGGTCTCTTTGGAGCGAGTCTGGGGTCTCTTTGGAGCGAGTCTGGGGTCTCTTTGGAGCGAGGTCTGGGGTCTCTTTGGAGCGAGTCTGGGGTCTCTTTGGAGCGAGTCTGGGGTCTCTTTGGAGCGAGTCTGGGGTCTCTTTGGAGCGAGTCTGGGGTCTCTTTGGAGCGAGTCTGGGGTCTCTTTGGAGCGAGTCTGGGGTCTCTTTGGAGCGAGTCTGGGGTCTCTTTGGAGCGAGTCTGGGGTCTCTTTGGAGCGAGTCTGGGGTCTCTTTGGAGCAGTCTGGGGTCTCTTTGGAGCGAGTCTGGGGTCTCTCTTTGGAGCGAGTCTGGGGTCTCTTTGGAGCGAGTCTGGGGTCTCTTTGGAGCGAGTCTGGGGTCTCTTTGGAGCGAGTCTGGGGTCTCTTTGGAGCGAGTCTGGGGTCTCTTTGGAGCGAGTCTGGGGTCTCTTTGGAGCGAGTCTGGGGTCTCTTTGGAGCGAGTCTGGGGTCTCTTTGGAGCGAGTCTGGGGTCTCTTTGGAGCGAGTCTGGGGTCTCTTTGGAGCGAGTCTGGGGTCTCTTTGGAGCGAGTCTGGGGTCTCTTTGGAGCGAGTCTGGGGTCTCTTTGGAGCGAGTCTGGGGTCTCTTTGGAGCGAGTCTGGGGTCTCTTTGGAGCGAGTCTGGGGTCTCTTTGGAGCGAGTCTGGGGTCTCTTTGGAGCGGTCTGGGGTCTCTTTGGAGCGAGTCTGGGGTCTCTTTGGAGCAGGTCTGGGGTCTCTTTGGAGCGAGTCTGGGGTCTCTTTGGAGCAGGTCTGGGGTCTCTTTGGAGCGAGTCTGGGGTCTCTTTGGAGCGAGTCTGGGGTCTCTTTGGAGCGAGTCTGGGGTCTCTTTGGAGCGAGTCTGGGGTCTCTTTGGAGCAGGTCTGGGGTCTCTTTGGAGCGAGTCTGGGGTCTCTTTGGAGCAGGTCTGGGGTCTCTTTGGAGCGAGTCTGGGGTCTCTTTGGAGCGAGTCTGGGGTCTCTTTGGAGCGAGTCTGGGGTCTCTTTGGAGCAGGTCTGGGGTCTCTTTGGAGCGAGTCTGGGGTCTCTTTGGAGCGAGTCTGGGGTCTCTTTGGAGCGGGTCTGGGGTCTCTTTGGAGCGAGTCTGGGGTCTCTTTGGAGCAGGTCTGGGGTCTCTTTGGAGCGAGTCTGGGGTCTCTTTGGAGCAGGTCTGGGGTCTCTTTGGAGCGAGTCTGGGGTCTCTTTGGAGCGAGTCTGGGGTCTCTTTGGAGCGGGTCTGGGGTCTCTTTGGAGCGAGTCTGGGGTCTCTTTGGAGCGAGTCTGGGGTCTCTTTGGAGCAGGTCTGGGGTCTCTTTGGAGCGAGTCTGGGGTCTCTTTGGAGCAGGTCTGGGGTCTCTTTGGAGCGAGTCTGAGGTCTCTTTGGAGCGAGTCTGGGGTCTCTTTGGAGCGGGTCTGGGGTCTCTTTGGAGCGAGTCTGGGGTCTCTTTGGAGCAGGTCTGGGGTCTCTTTGGAGCGGGTCTGGGGTCTCTTTGGAGCAGGTCTGGGGTCTCTTTGGAGCGAGTCTGGGGTCTCTTTGGAGCGGGTCTGGGGTCTCTTTGGAGCGAGTCTGGGGTCTCTTTGGAGCAGGTCTGGGGTCTCTTTGGAGCGAGTCTGAGGTCTCTTTGGAGCGAGTCTGGGGTCTCTTTGGAGCGGGTCTGGGGTCTCTTTGGAGCGAGTCTGGGGTCTCTTTGGAGCAGGTCTGGGGTCTCTTTGGAGCGGGTCTGGGGTCTCTTTGGAGCGAGTCTGGGGTCTCTTTGGAGCGAGTCTGGGGTCTCTTTGGAGCGAGTCTGGGGTCTCTTTGGAGCAGGTCTGAGGTCTCTTTGGAGCGGGTCTGGGGTCTCTTTGGAGCGAGTCTGGGGTCTCTTTGGAGCAGGTCTGAGGTCTCTTTGGAGCAGGTCTGGGGTCTCTTTGGAGCGAGTCTGGGGTCTCTTTGGAGCGAGTCTGGGGTCTCTTTGGAGCAGGTCTGGGGTCTCTTTGGAGCAGGTCTGGGGTCTCTTTGGAGCGAGTCTGGGGTCTCTTTGGAGCAGGTCTGCTTATCTGAGACGGGTCGGCCACTTCTGGGCTAATTGGATAATCTTTGTTTTCAGGGTTGAGAGCTGTTTTGAGGCCATGTTGTTCTTCAGAGAAGACGCAGAGAGGGAAAACACTTAGGATATTTAAATAGGCCAATTCTTTCTCATGATTGGATTCACTTGTGTTGGGAGGTCAAGGGTCACTGAGTTTACAAACCATACTTGAGTTTAAAGGGTTAGTGCTGAAGGTGTGGAAATCAATAACATGTTGTTCACATGCATCATTTGATTTAAATAATTATTGCACACATTCTGTGAATGATACAAATGTGTTTCTTTATGACATTCCAACTCTTTTTCATTCAAACTACTACTTCATTTGTTTCACCCACAAATTAAGTTAACAAGTTAATCCTTATGTGTCATTTATTGAAGGACGTTATAGGATATACTGAATAACACCTGAAATAGAGAGAGCGTTAAACTACTTTTAAAAACCTGACTAGTTACTGTCAAATGAAAGATGTTTTTTTTTTTTTTTATAAAAGTCAAAGGAGCCAGAGTGACTTAAAGCAAAACTTCACCATCAGCATAGGGCTTCTTTAGCAGGTTAGCATTGAGCTCGTTAGTTAGCATTGAGCTCGTTAGTTAGCATTGAGCTCGTTAGTTAGCATTGAGCTCGTTAGTTAGCATTGAGCTCGTTAGTTAGCATTGAGCTCGTTAGTTAGCATTGAGCTCGTTAGTTAGCATTGAGCTCGTTAGTTAGCATTGAGCTCGTTAGTTAGCATTGAGCTCGTTAGTTAGCATTGAGCTCGTTAGTTAGCACTGAGCTTGTTGGTTAGCGATGCCCATCTGTATACAGCCTGTGGTCTGCACAACCCTTCTCCAAACATTCTAGGTTCATATTGTTTGACTAAAGAGGAACCATGTGGATAAAAATAAGAGATAAGGCATCGAGCTCGTTAGTTAGCATTGAGCTCATTGGTTAGCATGGAGCTCGTTAGTTAGCATCGAGCTTGTTAGTTAGCATTGAGCTCATTGGTGAGCACTGAGCTCGTTAGTTAGAATTGAGCTCGTTAGTTAGCATTGAGCTCGTTAGTTAGCATTGAGCTCGTTAGTTAGCATTGAGCTGCAGTGACTGACCGGGTGAGAAGAGGGCGATGGCCTTCAGGCAGCTGTACTCGGCGGTGTCCACCTGCAGCCGGTTCAACTTGTCCACCTGGTCCTGAAAGACCCGAACCTGGTCCATGAAGGAGACCACGCGCTCGGCCGACATGGGCGAGGAGTGGAAGCCCGCCGCAGCCAGCAGCGGCGCCATATGCAGGGGGAGCGCAGACTGGGCCGCATTGAGGATGAACAACTCACTCCAGCTCAGCCTCAGCAGCGCCACCTGTGGACACACAGAAAAGGAGCGTAATCTTATTAAAACACAATATTAATATATACAGTCTATGATTAAAACTCAAACTCTAAATATTATATGCTGCAGATATTGTGAATGTGTAAAGAAGGTTCCTGTGGACAGGATCTGTATTTTCTTTTATTTGTGCAGTTATGTGCAATGCAATTTTAAAATGTGTATTACTGTGTCATAGACAGTGCACAATGAACATAAGGCAGAATGAACAATAAAGTGTATATTATGACACGTTTTATGAACAGACTTATAACACAGCCCGTTACAGAGGTGCTGTGGTCACTGGTATGCACTGGACACAGTGCTTTTACACTTACTAACAATTAACTATAGGTCTTATTTAAGGTGTATAAAGTATAATTCATTAGTATTACCAGAGTAAGAATGGAAATACGTGTTTTCATATTTTATTCTTCAACTTGGAGAATTACCTCGAAGGATTACTTATTGACGCAGCCACAATGCGCAGTTATCCCCATCTGTGTTTCATTGACCCTATCATCCTGGTGCTCCCAAACCTAGGTTATATTTAAAAAATCAAACTTGAACATTGCCTCACGGCTCACTGACTTTTTAAAATGCATACAAAAGAATGTGTGTGGAGCTGAGCTGGAATATCAAAACAAGTACATCAAAATCCTGAATCTGAGGATTAATCCCAATCCCAAGGCTTTACTTTCACTTTCAAATCACTTCCAATAAATGTCAAGGGTTCTGTTACTACGGCGACCACTGCTCCTGACGTAGGCCTCAGGGCATCAGGGTCAAATGCAGAGGATGAATGGCCCCACAGGGTTAATAAAGTGCACCTCGAGGGCGGGTACAGTGCATGTTTGACTACAGGTGTTCCTCTCGGGGGTGGGTACAGTGCATGTTTGACTACAGGTGTTCCTCTCGGGGGTGGGTAGAGTGCATGTTTGACTACAGGTGTTCCTCTCGGGGGTGGGTACAGTGCATGTTTGACTACAGGTGTTCCTCTCGGGGGCGGGTAGAGTGCATGTTTGACTACAGGTGTTCCTCTCGGGGGAGGGTACAGTGCATGTTTGACTACAGGTGTTCCTCTCGGGGGAGGGTACAGTGCATGTTTGACTACAGGTGTCCCTCTCGGGGGTGGGTAGAGTGCATGTTTGACTACAGGTGTTCCTCTCGGGGGTGGGTACAGTGCATGTTTGACTACAGGTGTCCCTCTCGGGGGTGGGTACAGTGCATGTTTGACTACAGGTGTTCCCTCTCGGGGGCGGGTACAGTGCATGTTTGACTACAGGTGTTCCTCTCGGGGGTGGGTACAGTGCATGTTTGACTACAGGTGTCCCTCTCGGGGGGTGGGTAGAGTGCATGTTTGACTACAGGTGTTCCTCTCGGGGGCGGGTACAGTGCATGTTTGACTACAGGTGTTCCTCTCGGGGGAGGGTACAGTGCATGTTTGACTACAGGTGTTCCTCTCGGGGGAGGGTACAGTGCATGTTTGACTACAGGTGTTCCCTCTCGGGGGCGGGTACAGTGCATGTTTGACTACAGGTGTTCCTCTCGGGGGAGGGTAGAGTGCATGTTTGACTACAGGTGTTCCTCTCGGGGGTGGGTACAGTGCATGTTTGACTACAGGTGTTCCTCTCGGGGGTGGGTACAGTGCATGTTTGACTACAGGTGTTCCTCTCGGGGGTGGGTACAGTGCATGTTTGACTACAGGTGTTCCCTCTCGGGGGAGGGTACAGTGCATGTTTGACTACAGGTGTTCCTCTCGGGGGCGGGTACAGTGCATGTTTGACTACAGGTGTTCCTCTCGGGGGAGGGTACAGTGCATGTTTGACTACAGGTGTTCCCTCTCGGGGGCGGGTACAGTGCATGTTTGACTACAGGTGTTCCTCTCGGGGGAGGGTAGAGTGCATGTTTGACTACAGGTGTTCCTCTCGGGGGAGGGTACAGTGCATGTTTGACTACAGGTGTTCCCTCTCGGGGAGGGGTAGAGTGCATGTTTGACTACAGGTGTTCCTCTCGGGGGAGGGTACAGTGCATGTTTGACTACAGGTGTTCCTCTCGGGGGTGGGTAGAGTGCATGTTTGACTACAGGTGTTCCCTCTCGGGGGAGGGTACAGTGCATGTTTGACTACAGGTGTTCCTCTCGGGGGCGGGTACAGTGCATGTTTGACTACAGGTGTTCCTCTCGGGGGAGCGGGTACAGTGCATGTTTGACTACAGGTGTTCCCTCTCGGGGGCGGGTACAGTGCATGTTTGACTACAGGTGTTCCTCTCGGGGGTGGGTAGAGTGCATGTTTGACTACAGGTGTTCCTCTCGGGGGCGGGTACAGTGCATGTTTGACTACAGGTGTTCCTCTCGGGGGAGGGTACAGTGCATGTTTGACTACAGGTGTTCCTCTCGGGGGAGGGTACAGTGCATGTTTGACTACTCTGTGTTTCATTGACCCTATCATCCTGGTGCTCCCAAACCTAGGTTATATTTAAAAAATCAAACTTGAACATTGCCTCACGGCTCACTGACTTTTTAAAATGCATACAAAAGAATGTGTGTGGAGCTGAGCTGGAATATCAAAACAAGTACATCAAAATCCTGAATCTGAGGATAAATCCCAATCCCAAGGCTTTCCTTTCACTTTCAAATCACTTCCAATAAATGTCAAGGGTTCTGTTACTACGGCGACCACTGCTCCTGACGTAGGCCTCAGGGCATCAGGGTCAAATGCAGAGGATGAATGGCCCCACAGGGTTAATAAAGTGCACCTCGAGGGCGGGTACAGTGCATGTTTGACTACAGGTGTTCCTCTCGGGGGAGGGTACAGTGCATGTTTGACTACAGGTGTTCCTCTCGGGGGTGGGTAGAGTGCATGTTTGACTACAGGTGTTCCTCTCGGGGGTGGGTACAGTGCATGTTTGACTACAGGTGTTCCTCTCGGGGGCGGGTAGAGTGCATGTTTGACTACAGGTGTTCCTCTCGGGGGAGGGTACAGTGCATGTTTGACTACAGGTGTTCCTCTCGGGGGAGGGTACAGTGCATGTTTGACTACAGGTGTCCCTCTCGGGGGTGGGTAGAGTGCATGTTTGACTACAGGTGTTCCTCTCGGGGGTGGGTACAGTGCATGTTTGACTACAGGTGTTCCCTCTCGGGGGTGGGTACAGTGCATGTTTGACTACAGGTGTTCCCTCTCGGGGGCGGGTACAGTGCATGTTTGACTACAGGTGTTCCTCTCGGGGGTGGGTACAGTGCATGTTTGACTACAGGTGTTCCCTCTCGGGGGAGGGTAGAGTGCATGTTTGACTACAGGTGTTCCTCTCGGGGGAGGGTACAGTGCATGTTTGACTACAGGTGTTCCTCTCGGGGGAGGGTACAGTGCATGTTTGACTACAGGTGTTCCTCTCGGGGGAGGGTACAGTGCATGTTTGACTACAGGTGTTCCCTCTCGGGGGCGGGTACAGTGCATGTTTGACTACAGGTGTTCCTCTCGGGGGAGGGTAGAGTGCATGTTTGACTACAGGTGTTCCTCTCGGGGGAGGGTAAGTGCATGTTTGACTACAGGTGTTCCTCTCGGGGGAGGGTACAGTGCATGTTTGACTACAGGTGTTCCTCTCGGGGGGGGTACAGTGCATGTTTGACTACAGGTGTTCCCTCTCGGGGGAGGGTACAGTGCATGTTTGACTACAGGTGTTCCCTCTCGGGGGAGGGTACAGTGCATGTTTGACTACAGGTGTTCCTCTCGGGGGAGGGTACAGTGCATGTTTGACTACAGGTGTTCCTCTCGGGGGAGGGTAGAGTGCATGTTTGACTACAGGTGTTCCTCTCGGGGGAGGGTAGAGTGCATGTTTGACTACAGGTGTTCCTCTCGGGGGAGGGTAGAGTGCATGTTTGACTACAGGTGTTCCTCTCGGGGGAGGGTAGAGTGCATGTTTGACTACAGGTGTTCCCTCTCGGGGGGGGTACAGTGCATGTTTGACTACAGGTGTTCCTCTCGGGGGTGGGTACAGTGCATGTTTGACTACAGGTGTTCCCTCTCGGGGGAGGGTACAGTGCATGTTTGACTACAGGTGTTCCTCTCGGGGGAGGGTACAGTGCATGTTTGACTACAGGTGTTCCTCTCGGGGGAGGGTACAGTGCATGTTTGACTACAGGTGTTCCTCTCGGGGGGGGTAGAGTGCATGTTTGACTACAGGTGTTCCTCTCGGGGGTGGGTACAGTGCATGTTTGACTACAGGTGTTCCCTCTCGGGGGAGGGTAGAGTGCATGTTTGACTACAGGTGTTCCTCTCGGGGGAGGGTACAGTGCATGTTTGACTACAGGTGTTCCCTCTCGGGGGAGGGTACAGTGCATGTTTGACTACAGGTGTTCCTCTCGGGGGGGGTAGAGTGCATGTTTGACTACAGGTGTTCCTCTCGGGGGGGGTACAGTGCATGTTTGACTACAGGTGTTCCTCTCGGGGGAGGGTAGAGTGCATGTTTGACTACAGGTGTTCCTCTCGGGGGAGGGTACAGTGCATGTTTGACTACAGGTGTTCCTCTCGGGGGAGGGTAGAGTGCATGTTTGACTACAGGTGTTCCTCTCGGGGGAGGGTACAGTGCATGTTTGACTACAGGTGTTCCTCTCGGGGGCGGGTAGAGTGCATGTTTGACTACAGGTGTTCCTCTCGGGGGGGGTAGAGTGCATGTTTGACTACAGGTGTTCCTCTCGGGGGTGGGTAGAGTGCATGTTTGACTACAGGTGTTCCTCTCGGGGGTGGGTAGAGTGCATGTTTGACTACAGGTGTTCCCTCGGGGGGGGTAGAGTGCATGTTTGACTACAGGTGTTCCCTCTCGGGGGAGGGTAGAGTGCATGTTTGACTACAGGTGTTCCCTCTCGGGGAGGGGGTGCATGTTTGACTACAGGTGTTCCTCTCGGGGGAGGGTACAGTGCATGTTTGACTACAGGTGTTCCTCTCGGGGGAGGGTAGAGTGCATGTTTGACTACAGGTGTTCCTCTCGGGGGAGGGTAGAGTGCATGTTTGACTACAGGTGTTCCCTCTCGGGGGAGGGTAGAGTGCATGTTTGACTACAGGTGTTCCTCTCGGGGGAGGGTACAGTGCATGTTTGACTACAGGTGTTCCTCTCGGGGGAGGGTACAGTGCATGTTTGACTACAGGTGTTCCTCTCGGGGGAGGGTACAGTGCATGTTTGACTACAGGTGTTCCTCTCGGGGGAGGGTAAGTGCATGTTTGACTACAGTGTCCTCCGGGGGGGTACAGTGCATGTTTGACTACAGGTGTTCCCTCTCGGGGGAGGGTAGAGTGCATGTTTGACTACAGGTGTTCCTCTCGGGGGAGGGTACAGTGCATGTTTGACTACAGGTGTTCCTCTCGGGGGGGGTAGAGTGCATGTTTGACTACAGGTGTTCCTCTCGGGGGAGGGTACAGTGCATGTTTTGACTACAGGTGTTCCTCTCGGGGGAGGGTAGAGTGCATGTTTGACTACAGGTGTTCCTCTCGGGGGCGGGTACAGTGCATGTTTGACTACAGGTGTTCCTCTCGGGGGTGGGTACAGTGCATGTTTGACTACAGGTGTTCCTCTCGGGGGAGGGTACAGTGCATGTTTAACTACAGGTGTTCCTCTCGGGGGTGGGTACAGTGCATGTTTGACTACAGGTGTTCCTCTCGGGGGAGGGTACAGTGCATGTTTGACTACAGGTGTTCCTCTCGGGGGAGGGTAGAGTGCATGTTTGACTACAGGTGTTCCTCTCGGGGGTGGGTACAGTGCATGTTTGACTACAGGTGTTCCTCTCGGGGGCGGGTACAGTGCATGTTTGACTACAGGTGTTCCTCTCGGGGGTGGGTACAGTGCATGTTTGACTACAGGTGTTCCCCTCGGGGGTGGGTACAGTGCATGTTTGACTACAGGTGTTCCTCTCGGGGGAGGGTAGAGTGCATGTTTGACTACAGGTGTTCCTCTCGGGGGAGGGTAGAGTGCATGTTTGACTACAGGTGTTCCCTCTCGGGGGAGGGTACAGTGCATGTTTGACTACAGGTGTTCCTCTCGGGGGCGGGTACAGTGCATGTTTGACTACAGGTGTTCCCTCTCGGGGGTGGGTACAGTGCATGTTTGACTACAGGTGTTCCTCTCGGGGGTGGGTAGAGTGCATGTTTGACTACAGGTGTTCCCTCTCGGGGGAGGGTAGAGTGCATGTTTGACTACAGGTGTTCCTCTCGGGGGTGGGTAGAGTGCATGTTTGACTACAGGTGTTCCTCTCGGGGGAGGGTAGAGTGCATGTTTGACTACAGGTGTTCCTCTCGGGGGCGGGTACAGTGCATGTTTGACTACAGGTGTTCCTCTCGGGGGTGGGTAGAGTGCATGTTTGACTACAGGTGTTCCTCTCGGGGGTGGGTAGAGTGCATGTTTGACTACAGGTGTTCCCTCTCGGGGGAGGGTACAGTGCATGTTTGACTACAGGTGTTCCTCTCGGGGGCGGGTACAGTGCATGTTTGACTACAGGTGTTCCCTCTCGGGGGTGGGTACAGTGCATGTTTGACTACAGGTGTTCCTCTCGGGGGTGGGTAGAGTGCATGTTTGACTACAGGTGTTCCCTCTCGGGGGAGGGTAGAGTGCATGTTTGACTACAGGTGTTCCTCTCGGGGGTGGGTAGAGTGCATGTTTGACTACAGGTGTTCCTCTCGGGGGAGGGTAGAGTGCATGTTTGACTACAGGTGTTCCTCTCGGGGGCGGGTACAGTGCATGTTTGACTACAGGTGTTCCTCGGGGGAGGGTAGAGTGCATGTTTGACTACAGGTGTTCCCTCTCGGGGGCGGGTACAGTGCATGTTTGACTACAGGTGTTCCTCTCGGGGGTGGGTAAAGTGCATGTTTGACTACAGGTGTTCCTCTCGGGGGAGGGTACAGTGCATGTTTGACTACAGGTGTTCCTCTCGGGGGCGGGTACAGTGCATGTTTGACTACAGGTGTTCCTCTCGGGGGTGGGTAGAGTGCATGTTTGACTACAGGTGTTCCTCTCGGGGGAGGGTAGAGTGCATGTTTGACTACAGGTGTTCCTCTCGGGGGCGGGTACAGTGCATGTTTGACTACAGGTGTTCCTCTCGGGGGTGGGTAGAGTGCATGTTTGACTACAGGTGTTCCTCTCGGGGGTGGGTAGAGTGCATGTTTGACTACAGGTGTTCCTCTCGGGGGAGGGTACAGTGCATGTTTGACTACAGGTGTTCCCTCTCGGGGGCGGGTACAGTGCATGTTTGACTACAGGTGTTCCTCTCGGGGGTGGGTAAAGTGCATGTTTGACTACAGGTGTTCCCTCTCGGGGGCGGGTACAGTGCAACACATGTCCTTTCCTAACATTCAGGAAAACCCTCCCATACTGTATCTCATGTCACCGTTATCTCTGAGGAGCAGCCAATGTCTGAATATTCATGAGCGAAACACAAAACATCAGTTCTGGACAATCTGCAGTTAAAGCCCATGGTGTTTCTGTCGTTTCAAATGTACATGGTGGTGTGTGTCCATGTCCCAGTATGTCCCGATATGTCACAATATGTCCCAGTATGTCCCGATATGTCACAATATGTCCCAGTATGTCCCAATATGTCCCGATATGTCCCGATATGTCCCAGTATGTCCCAGTATGTCCCAGTATGTCCCGATATGTCCCGATATGTCCCGATATGTCCCGATATGTCCCAGTATGTCCCCAATATGTCCCCAATATGTCCCGATATGTCCCGATATGTCCCGATATGTCCCAGTATGTCCCAGTATGTCCCAGTATGTCCCAGTATGTCCCAGTATGTCCCAGTATGTCCCGATATTGTCGAACATGGCTGTAGCATTTCTTTCTTTTCCAGTTTAAATTTGAAAACCATATGTAAGAGCATGTAATGGTCTTGATAGTGCCATGTGCCCTCTCACCTGCTCGGACACCGGCAGCTCGGGGAAGTAGGGTATGTTCCTGGCCCACTCGATGGTGCTGAAGAGGAGGCGTGCAGCCAGCTCACAGATGCTGTCGATGCCCATGACGGACCCCCCCCCGGAGCCCTGCAGCTGGGCCTGGCCATAGGGGGCGCTGAAACGGCCACTGGGGTACGGTTCTGCGCGCAGCAGCTGGGAGATGAGCTCGGACACTGGCTGACCGTTGAAGAAGTCGGGCCCCATGTGCCCCCCGCCCGGAGCCCCTACCGCTGCCCCAAGAGGACTGACCCCAGAGTGTGCAGAGGGGACCCGGCCTCGCTGCACCGCTGTGGACACAAGGACATTACATTTGGATCGTACTGAATTCATCCTGTTACAGCCAACGACATAGACATGGAACACATCAAATGAGGAAAATAAAAATAAAAATTGTTAAACTCAGAATAATTCAGTTTTCCTCAGAAAGAGAAGCCTCAAGTCACAAATCAGCCTCTGTTGAAAGTTCCCAGAACCCCAAAAACAGAGACTTGTGACCTTCACTCTGACAAGACTGTATCTGTGCTGGTGTCTGAAGGGCCGTGTACTTTTGTGTTCAATACATTTTATATTTTTGAAGGGAAATGGAAAATAAAAAAAGGCTATTTTGCATTTTCAGGCACACGGCAATATACAAAAATGACCATTTTGTTTGTTTCATTGCTTATAAGACAGATATATTATAATAACCAGATTTGGGAACTAGAAAATGCAATAATCAACATTTTTAATTTTGTATTTAATACATTTCGGCGTCAATCGATTACCCGGAAGTGAAACAAGTTTGTTTACTTGCATGGGATTAGTATTACCTCTGGACCCCTGATAATTTGTGATAATCGCGGAGGACGTCTAAGATTTTAGTCCAGTGCAAATGCACCATGTCTTTAATTTGTTTAGTAATAATTACGCCGCAAATGACCTGTATTTGTCCAAACACAGACTGTGATGATACTGATCCTGTGAGAATCTGCAGGTCAGTGATCGTGATCGCTATCGCCGCTTTCTCTTTACTTTCTGCGTTGTTTTTGTCAGTGAGCAGCGGGGTCGTGTATCGCGGCTGTGTACACAGCTGCAGAGTCACGGCTGCTGCTGTCTCTAGAGGACAGTGTAATGTGTTTAATGGCCTCATTTATGAAACTTGTGTACGGCCAAATCAGGGTAAATGATGCGTACGCAAACAATTTACACTTTTTGGCATTTATCAATCTGCACGTGAGCGAACGGTCAATGGTGCCTTCGTCACAACACGCCAAAACACGCATCAAATGCAAGATTTGGACAACAATAAACATGTTCCCTCTGGCAACATTATTATCTACGTTACATGTTTCTAAATATGAATTTGCGCATCAGAAAAAGTCTAACACTCTGGAAACACGCACATCTCGAATACATCACAGTTCATGATGAGAAGCCTCTTCTGTTTCGTTTTTAAATCTGACTTATGTGCGTATTATTTTCATCTGTGTTATTTTTATTTTCAATGTCAAGTGCTTTGTGATCCTGCTCTGTGAAGGCACTATACAAATACACCTGGCTTACTTCTCCGTATCTGTGGCAGACCCTGCGTAATTACGCATTTGTTTGGTCTCATTCACCTCTGGAAAAGCAACGTATTCCTTCATTGTGCGTTTTGGAGTTTTTCTGTGATATCTCATACATTCTTTATCTCTCACAGAGATCGCTCCATTGCATTCACAAGAAGATGTCGCTGACGCTTGACCCAGATGAGAGTCACCTTTCATTCATTCATTCATTTCTAAAGAGATGAGCTGCAGTGGGTCTAGACCATAGACTGTATATATCAACGGACAGAGTCACGCCTATCTCCGCCGTTCATAGGAGTTGGCCATGAAAAGTGCGTTCATGGAGCTATCCAAAATGGCCGCGAGTGGTCCCGCCCACAAGAAAATTGTGAAAAAACGCATCTGTGCATGCGTCAGCCGGCGTAGCTCCGTTCATTTGAACGAGAGACTTCAAAAATTCCCAGCGACTAAACTAGACTGGACCAAAAAAATCACCCCCCTCAGCATCGACACACATGTGGAACGGAGCTTTGGGCCAAGAGACAACTTTTGGACCATCCTGTAAAGACGTTTTTGAGAGGTCTGCTAACGCTATATGTTAGCATTGGCTAATTCTTCTTCTGGGTCCACCCCCATCGGCCCGGGATTTTGGCCACTTTTGAGCTGGGACCCTCCCCCACTGGTCTAGACACTGGGGGAAAACATGTATCATAATATAGTGGGTTTTTGTTGGTCTTTTTTGACAAAACAAATACAATAAAATGCAATATAAACAGGCCTTCTCAGGCTTCCAACTATGACTATGACTTTCATAAATATGCTGGTTTTCACCGCGGCATTTAGCAACAGCTACGTACGCTCAGATCTGTGCGGATCTCACACGTTCATAAATCCCGCGTTGAGTCTGGCGTAAATGGAATATACACCAAAAAATATACACCCTTTTCTAAACAACTTTCATAAATGAAGGGCCACTGACACTAAATGATCAGACCGACGGGTTGTGTTTGTGCGTTTACTCTGCACTCAGTGGTTATCTCAGCAGAGTACTCGTGTGGTTCACGAGCAGTCCTTACAAACTGTTATTAAACTATCTATGGGCCAGAGAACTGTAGAGCAGTCAAATGTTTGTCCTCATGTCTCTGCTGTGGTCCATAGTCTGTATGAACTGTGGTCAGACGCCAGACTTTATGAACTGCGTGAAGCGGGAGACCGGTGCACGTGCGGTCGTTATGTGAGATGTCAGTGAAAATATAGTAATTTACAGACTTTGCTTATCCCGCGTGAATGCACTGCAAGATCTCCACGATTGTCACAAATTACCAGGGGTCCACAGGTCAAACTCTTCCGCCTCCGTCGAGCAAAGACGTGTCTCAGACCGTCCTGCTTCTGACTGCTGCTATCTCTGTTTTTGTCTTTTTCCTGGAGTTTTGCCACAGACAACTTTAACAAGAATGAAAATGATTAACTGGTCCCTCAACGCAATTGATTCTATCTTTTCAACACGTAAGCGTGGGTCTGGAGAGCCCGTGTGCCCGGACGGGACCTCACCAGCGGGGTATACTCTTGACAGAACAAGTATCAGCCCCTCTGTCGGTCGACTCTGTCCATTGAAGATTCGGAAGACGTATATATCTTTGGCATTTTGGTGGTGGGAATCCTCCTGTTTGGGTTTGGAGCTGTTCTCTTCTACCACAAATTCGGAGGCATGGCAGTTCGCAAGATTCACGACCTGCTGGCCGACAAAATTGATGGGATGTACAAGGAGCTTAGCCGCGTCGTGGTTGAGAGCGCTGTGTCTGGACAAAGGAGAGTGGTTTTGGTGGAACAGTTGGTTAAAGACCTCGCAGCTCGTTCACTCGATGGACATAAGACTCTGGAGTTGAGATTGAATGACATTTGTCAGGCTTGAACTCTCTGACCCGGCTTGGATCTGCCCCTGTGTACGGGGTCTGAGGGCGCCGCAATTCGGTTTAATTGGATTTAATAGAATATCTGCCTGACATTGCATTGAATATTGTCTGAGGCGATGTGTTTTCTCCTCCTGTGCCTTCTCTCCACTCTTATCTCACATTCCTCGCCCAAGGCCATAATAACAAGGTCCCCATCTACAACAATCTCACACTTCAGTCTCCAGCTCGGATCCCGTCTCCCCCGCCTCCCTCTGTCCATCTTGCTCCCTCCCTCCCCTCCACTCCTCACTGTGTTTCCGACTCACCCCCCTCCCTGACCCCGCCCCCCTCTGACAGCCACATTGGGCCGGCTGTAGGAGGTGCTTCATCCCGAGAAAAAAACCCGTGGTTTATACAAAGCACAATGTGTCTATCCAACTGTCTGTGAAACTGTATGTTATTGCTCTCTGCTGTTTATTCTACTGTTTGTCGCATGGCGCCGTAAAGATGGCGCCGTGGCAAGAGCTCTGGTGTGTGTCGTCTCCTCTGTCTGGTGCACACCGGGGTAGTCTTGCCAATGTGGTTTTACTGCAAATGGCAAATAAATGAATCTGAATCTGAATCTGAAACTAAACCTGCGCGAATAGGGCTGAAGTAAAGCAACTTGTTTCACTGCCGGGCAATTGATTGATGCTGAAATGTATTAAATACAAAATAAAGAAAGTTTGAGGGGCTGGTGCTCTGTGTACTGGGTCAACTCTGGCCACCCCCCCCCGACCCAGAAATGGATTAAGGGGAAGATAATGGATGGATGGATGGATAAAATAAGTTAAATATTGTATTTTCAAGTTTCCAAATCCGGTTATTATAATATATACGTGTTATAAGCAATGAAAAAAGCCAAAATGGTATTTTTTGTATATTGCTGTGTGCCTGAAAATGCAAAATAGCCCTTTTTGATTTTCCATTTCACTTCAAAAATAGAAAATGTATTGAACACAAAAGTACACGGACCTTTGAGTCATGTATTCTCTAAAACGTTATCTGGCCGAACTAATTTTAAGAGCAGCAAATCTGGGAAACTTCACTTTCAAACCACAAAAATAGACCCATGTGATAAACTCCTGGCTCTAAAACATCCTTTGATCACGGATCACTTCCGTCACAATTTGTTTAATGCATCTTTAGATAAACTTTTTCAGATGGAAAAATGAAAACGAGATTCCCGCCCTCAGCTGATCTGCTTCGAGTCTGCAGTGACCCACAGAGCGGTCCCTCTCTGGGATCAGTAAGTCTGGATACCTGCACCTCAGAAGTACTGTAGTTCTACTGCCACCGGAGGGCGCTATAACACACCATGCAGGTTGTCAGAGTGTCATTTTTCAGCAAGAAAGAGACAACTATAAATGTTCCAGTGCTGACGTAAGCTCACATCATTTCTTTCATTTTGTGGTTTCATGGACAGAACCGTTTTCTGTGCTTAAAAACAAAACGTTTTTCCTCTAAATCATGAGCGTTGTCATTTAAAGCTTTTTGAGCTGACGCTGAAGATCTTTTTAATCTCCTCACATTATCAACATTATTTTTCTGATTGTTTTGACCAGTTAGTTGATACCGGTGGATTACCAAAGGGAGACCACACAACTTCTCGAGGCACACTATTGTGAGGAACTGAATTAGGTCAGTTCTTCATCCATTGTGTGCTCACTTTGTTAATCGATAAGTGGTTTGGATCAGGAAAGGTCCGTAAATATGGGATTTTGTGTGACCAAGACATAGCAGTGATGCGCCTGGAGAACGTCTTCGTACAACTCACGTGTCACAAAATGAAATACTTTCTACACACATTTTCATTTCATTCTGCAGTCATTATAGAATTAACTGTGTCATAAAACCATAAACATCTCAGCATTTGGTTGAACAAAAGCCTTAATCCATGACTACATCTGTTTCCTACTTCATTATGAATCTCATGAGTAATGCGTGCTCTACAAAGATTGTGGAGAGCTACAGATGCACCACATGTCTTACCTTCTTTGCGCATGCCCACTCTGAAGCACTTCTTGAGGCGGCAGAACTGGCACTGGTTGCGGTGGTGCTGGTCTATTTGGCATTCTCGGTTTGATCTGAAACAAACATTTACTGCAGTTATCCAAATGAAAAGTCCACTTACACTTTGACAATGTTCACTACAGAGACAGGGTTAAAGATATTTTAATCTAACAAGGTTTTCTTTTATTTTAAAAGTGCTTTTATGATTGCATTTGGGCTTTGAACGTCATTAGTGTCGTGTTTTCCTTTTATGTATCAAATGTATGTCCAAATGTTCTGTACTGTAACAGGGATGAAGACAGGAGACTACAGTCCAGTTCAACCCTAACCCAGAGTTCACCCATGGATCACATTTAGTCTGTGGTCGATGTGCAACAGTTTCACTTTGTTTTAAGTAGTTCTATAACTTAACCAGTTGCATTCAAAAGCCTTTTTTAATGGATTAACTCTATTAGCTCGACTTAACTTTCATCCCAATCATCGTATAATGAGTTTGAAAGAGGAGATTTAGATTTATTATATGACTTGGACCGTACGCGCGCTCTGATTGGCTGATTACCGGTCTGATATTTTCCCATCTTGGACCGTTACCATGACAATTGGTCCGAACAGCGCGTATCACACAAAACCAAGTCGGACATGAACATGCTTCACAAATATCTCAAAAGAATTGGTAAAGACACAGACGAGAGTCATTTAATAAAACATTTATTAACCACGGTTCGGTCTGTACATTAAGGCCGCGGTCTGATATTTCTCTATACAGACCTCGGGCTCGATTAATAAGCCGGTAATATCAGCCTGGATGGAGCTAAAAACAAATACATGGATGACTGATAAGTGTGGAAACCTCCAAAAGCCCCACGTCACACACATGCTCATGACACTGTCGTTTAGTGTCAGCTCCCCTGACCCCAGCGCTCTGCAGACCTGCCGTAGCTAACAGGGCTTTGTAAATCAGCCACGCACACGCGCACGCACACACACACACGCGCACGCACGCACGCACACACATACACACATACACACGCGCGCACACACACACACGCACGCACACACATACACACGCGCACGCACGCACGCACACACACACACGCACACACATATACACACACACACACACACACACACGCGCGCGCGCGCGCACGCCCTTTTTACTGCCGCTCTTTGGAAAACCTTCACCCACTCCTCGCCTCCACGGTGACAAACAGCCGTAAGATACACGCTCCATTCAGCGCTCTCAACTTTGGACCAAAATAATATCAGGCGGGCGCAGGCTTTGAGTCTGCGGTTAAGAGTAATGCCAATGCTTTGAGTCTGCGGTTAAGAGTAATGCCAATGCTTTGAGTCTGTGGTTAAGAGTAATGCCAATGCTTTGAGTCTGTGGTTAAGAGTAATGCCAATGCTTTGAGTCTGCGGTTAAGAGTAATGCCAATGCTTTGAGTCTGTGGTTAAGAGTAATGCCAATGCTTTGAGTCTGCGGTTAAGAGTAATGCCAATGCTTTGAGTCTGCGGTTAAGAGTAATGCCAATGCTTTGAGTCTGTGGTTAAGAGTAATGCCAATGCTTTGAGTCTGCGGTTAAGAGTAATGCCAATGCTTTGAGTCTGCGGTTAAGAGTAATGCCAATGTTGACCTTCTGATCTGAACCAATCACATGACTGACCTTCACAGCTTTCTCTCTCTCTTTCATTGTGTGTTTTTCTCCACACATAGCTGTTGGAGAGCTCCAAGGTTGGAGCGTTTCATTTGGAGTAGAGAGAAACAGGCACAATAACAGTAAAACAGCAGTGAGATTGAAAAGAACAATTCTATTTGGCCAAAGGTTCTTGTTATATTTAACATAATACTTCTATAGATACTTTATTCATTATGGTTACACATTTGTCCTTCTAAATCTCTTGTGTCAAACTTGTGACGTTTTGTGCGAGCTCTAAAGGTTGTTAGTGGTTCTCTCAGTAATAACGTAATCAGTTATAGCGAGGTGTTATTTAAAGGAGTGTACATATATATACATGTTCTTTATTTAATGATTGACATAATGATATTATTATTATTCAGAAAAGGTTCAGACGTGTTGGCTCCCACTGATTACATGTGCAATCCATCTGCTGGGGTTGAACTTGGGCAACAAACTCCAAGTACTGCGTCATTTTAAATCTTTAAATCTACATTGTGTGTGGTGCTATTTCCTTTCCAAACAAACTGACGACCCAAATGCTCTCTGATTGGATAAACTGCTTGGTAATCATGAACATAAATATTAAGGTCCATTGCGTTTTTGATGGATAATCACTTTGTTCAGAAAAGGTCAAATATGATTGGTACATGTTGATTTAAAATAACATTATAAAACAGTTACATGTAATTCTTTTATGCTTATAATTACATGAATAGTTTAAAAAGATATTACATATATTTCCTTTTAATTTTGCCTAAAATTAAAGTCTAGAATCTTACATTAGTGACAGTGGGACGTGCACCAAACAGCAGTCTTGATGACTGCTGTCGTTGTGTCCTTGGGCAAGACACTTAACCCCACTTTGCCCAAAGCCCCCACTGAAAGATCAAGGCTATGCTCACACTCAGAGAGCAGCCGTCCTCCTGTGGACTCACCACCTGCAGAGGGTCAGTGAGGGGCTGGTGCTATGAGACTTGGGTGGCATCTCTGACTGCCACCCCCCTGACCCAGAAATGGATTAAAGGGTAGAAAATGGATGGATGGATGGATGGATGTCTTGAAATATTCACTTTGATTAAAGATTGTCAAACTCTTTGCTGAAGTCTAACCATAAATCATCACTGACATGCAGTAAGTGTCTTTGCCATATTTAGTAAGTAAGTAGTAGTAAGAAAGCTTTATTTATATACCGCCTTTTCACTGCACATCGGAGTCTCAAAGCGGTTTACAATTGTTGGGTGGGGGTGCCAGAACAGGAGGCACATGCCAGAACTATTGGACATATTTTTAGTGGTAGGGGAAACCGGAGCACCCGGAGGAAACCTACGCAGACACGGGGAGAACATGCAAACTCCACTCAGAAAGGCCCTGGTCCAACCGGGATTCGAACCCAGGACCTTCTTGCTGAGAGGCGAGAGTGCTATCCACTCAGCCACCGTGCCGCCCATTTACCAAACGAGTGTGGCTGAGTTATTATATATATTTTTACATAATCAATTGCATTATGTAAATGCCCCCCTGGACTGCCACCTTAACGTGGTGGGGGAGTTTGAGTACTCGGATGATCCTGGGAGCTATGCTGTCTGGGGCTTCATGCCCCTGGTAGGGCCTCCCATGGCAGACAGGTCTCAGGTGACGAGTCAGACGAAGAGCAGTCCAAAAACCACCATGGACAGCACGATAAATAGACCAGTGACGTCGCCCGGCATGGCGCAGCCGGGGCCCCACCCTGGAGCCAGGCCTGGGGTCGGGGCTCGAATGCGAGCGCCTGGTGGCCGGGCCTTAGCCCACGGGGCCCGGCCGGGCTCAGCCCGAAGGGATGACGTGGGCAGTCCCTCCTGTGGGCCCACCACCTGCAGAGGGGTCCGTGGTGAAGCGGTGCAGAGAGGACTGGGCAGCAGTCGAAGGCGGAGACCTCGACGACCCAGTCCACACACCCAACATCTGGCTCTTGGGACGTGGAACGTCACCTCACTGGGGGGGAAGGAGCCCGAGCTCGTGGGGGAGGTTGAGCGATACCGACTAGAGATAGTCGGCCTCACCTCCACACACAGCTTGGGCTCTGGAACCCAACTCCTTGAGAGGGGTTGGGAGGGCTGCTGACCTCAACTGGGGATATTATCGGGCGGTGGAAGGAATACTTCGAGGTTCTCCTCAATCCCCCCGTCACGTCCTCTGTTACAGAGGCAGAGGCTGAGGATGTTAGGGCGGATACATCCATCTCCCTGGCTGAGGTCACCAAGGTGGTTGGTAGCCTCCATGGTGGCAAGGCTCCGGGTGTGGATGAGATCCGTCCTGATTATCTAAAGTCTCTGGATGTTGTAGGACTGTCTTGGCTGACACGTCTCTGCAGCATCGCGTGGCGATCGGGGGCGGTGCCAATGGAGTGGCAGACCGGGGTGGTGGTCCCTCTCTACAAGAAGGGGGACCTGAGGGTGTGTTCCAATTATCGTGGGATCACACTCCTCAGCCTCCCCGGTAAGGTCTACTCCAAGGTACTGGAGAGGAGGCTACGGCCGATGGTCGAATCTCGGATTCAGGAGGAGCAGTGTGGTTTTCGTCCCGGTCGTGGAACACTGGACCAGCTCTATACTCTCCATCGGATACTCGAGGGTTCATGGGAGTTTGCCCAACCTGTCCACATGTGCTTTGTGGATTTGGAGAAGGCGTTCGACCGTGTTCCCCGGGGTGTCCTTTGGGGGGTTCTCCGGGAGTACGGGGTCCGGGGTCCTCTGCCCTCATGTGTATCACCTGTGTCTTGTTAGTCCTGTATTTTAGCCCTGTGTGTTCCTTCACTCCCTGTTCCGTCATTGTCATCCCTCGTCTGTTTCAGTTCTTGTTCTCTGTGGTTTTTCTGGTTTTGGATTTGTTATATTTTTTATTAAATCCATTATTCTGTAGTTTGTGCATTTTGGGCCTCATTTGTTTTTCACCTACGTGACACTAAGGCAACTACTGTTGTGATTTAGGGCTATACAAAAGTAAATCCAATAGAATAGAATAGAATAGAATAGATAGAGAAGCACTTCCTGCTGTTTGGGGTAAAACGTTTACATTCTCTCTGATCCAGGGCCATACTTTTAACACTTTCTGTTGGACCGATGTCTCCAACGTTCTGTTTGTGGGAAATGTGTTTATAACTCATCTGATAACTTTAGTTCATTTATATCATGTAGGCATTATTATTTGATATTATAAACAAAATGCTCCTGGTTCATTGCTCAGAATCGAAAAGAAATTTTTTTTTCCTCAAAGAAGTAGCTTTAAAATTAGGTCTAAAAGTAGGATGTAAACCTCAATGTTTGCACATTTTGATAATCATTTCAAGCTCCCTGTAGTTTGGCTTCACAAGGAAGAGCCAACACTGGAGGATCTGTGTACCCAGGGGTCAATACCCCCAGGGGTCAACATACCCCCAGAGGTCAACATACCCCCAGGGGTCAACATACCCATAAGGGTCAACATACCCATAGGGGTCAACATACCCATAGGGGTCAACATACCCTCCAATCTCATTCATTATTGCCCCAAACAGAACGATACTTCTCTGAACCATCATCGGGTCTACAGCTGTCTGTTCAGAAGGAACTCTCCCAGAAAACCATCTTCTCCTAAATGTAAGCCACATACGTTCAAGGTTCTAACATTATTCTTTCTTAAGAAGTGAATTGTGTTTGTCCCCACAGAAAGAAAAACACGTATAAACAAATCTGACCCGAACACGCTTCAGTGAAGGGCTCTCTTTGGTCCCCCGAGGAGGTTATTGAATATTGGAGGTTTTGGAAGTTATACCCAAACTACAGAGAGAGCTACATGATGCTACACCTGCAGGAGAGCACTAAAGAGAGCTACATGATGCTACACCTGCAGGAGAGCACTACAGAGAGAGCTACACTAAAGAGAGCTACATGATGGTTCACCTGCAGGAGTACACTACAGAGAGAGCTACACTAAAGAGAGCTACATGATGCTACACCTGCAGGAGAGCACTAAAGAGAGCTACATGATGCTACACCTGCAGGAGAGCACTAAAGAGAGCTACATGATGCTACACCTGCAGGAGAGCACTAAAGAGAGCTACATGATGCTACACCTGCAGGAGAGCACTACAGAGAGAGCTACACTAAAGAGAGCTACATGATGGTTCACCTGCAGGAGAGCACTACAGAGAGAGCTACACTAAAGAGAGCTACATGATGCTACACCTGCAGGAGAGCACTAAAGAGAGCTACATGATGCTACACCTGCAGGAGAGCACTACAGAGAGAGCTACACTAAAGAGAGCTACATGATGCTTCACCTGCAGGAGAGCACTAAAGAGAGCTACATGATGCTACACCTGCAGGAGAGCACTAAAGAGAGCTACATGATGCTACACCTGCAGGAGAGCACTAAAGAGAGAGCTACACTAAAGAGAGCTACATGATGGTTCACCTGCAGGAGTACACTACAGAGAGAGCTACACTAAAGAGAGCTACATGATGATTCACCTGCAGGAGTACACTACAGAGAGAGCTACACTAAAGAGAGCTACATGATGCTACACCTGCAGGAGAGCACTAAAGAGAGCTACATGATGATTCACCTGCAGGAGTACACTACAGAGAGAGCTACACTAAAGAGAGCTACATGATGGTTCACCTGCAGGAGTACACTACAGAGAGAGCTACACTAAAGAGAGCTACATGATGCTACACCTGCAGGAGAGCACTAAAGAGAGCTACATGATGCTACACCTGCAGGAGAGCACTAAAGAGAGCTACATGATGCTACACCTGCAGGAGAGCACTAAAGAGAGCTACATGATGCTACACCTGCAGGAGAGCACTACAGAGAGAGCTACACTAAAGAGAGCTACATGATGGTTCACCTGCAGGAGAGCACTACAGAGAGAGCTACACTAAAGAGAGCTACATGATGCTACACCTGCAGGAGAGCACTAAAGAGAGCTACATGATGCTACACCTGCAGGAGAGCACTACAGAGAGAGCTACACTAAAGAGAGCTACATGATGCTTCACCTGCAGGAGAGCACTAAAGAGAGCTACATGATGCTACACCTGCAGGAGAGCACTACAGAGAGAGCTACACTAAAGAGAGCTACATGATGGTTCACCTGCAGGAGTACACTACAGAGAGAGCTACACTAAAGAGAGCTACATGATGATTCACCTGCAGGAGTACACTACAGAGAGAGCTACACTAAAGAGAGCTACATGATGCTACACCTGCAGGAGAGCACTAAAGAGAGCTACACTAAAGAGAGCTACATGATGGTTCACCTGCAGGAGTACACTACAGAGAGAGCTACACTAAAGAGAGCTACATGATGATTCACCTGCAGGAGTACACTACAGAGAGAGCTACACTAAAGAGAGCTACATGATGGTTCACCTGCAGGAGTACACTACAGAGAGAGCTACACTAAAGAGAGCTACATGATGGTTCACCTGCAGGAGTACACTACAGAGAGAGCTACACTAAAGAGAGCTACATGATGGTTCACCTGCAGGAGTACACTACAGAGAGAGCTACATGATGCTACACCTGCAGGAGAGCACTAAAGAGAGCTACATGATGCTACACCTGCAGGAGAGCACTGAAGAGAGCTACATGATGCTACACCTGCAGGAGAGCACTACAGAGAGCTACATGATGCTACACCTGCAGGGGTACACTACAGAGAGAGCTACACTAAAGAGAGCTACATGATGCTACACCTGCAGGGGTACACTACAGAGAGAGCTACACTAAAGAGAGTTACATGATGGTTCACCTGCAGGAGTACACTACAGAGAGAGCTACACTAAAGAGAGCTACATGATGGTTCACCTGCAGGAGTACACTACAGAGAGAGCTACACTAAAGAGAGCTACATGATGGTTCACCTGCAGGAGTACACTACAGAGAGAGCTACACTAAAGAGAGCTACATGATGGTTCACCTGCAGGAGTACACTACAGAGAGAGCTACACTAAAGAGAGCTACATGATGGTTCACCTGCAGGAGTACACTACAGAGAGAGCTACACTAAAGAGAGCTACATGATGGTTCACCTGCAGGAGTACACTACAGAGAGAGCTACACTAAAGAGAGCTACATGATGGTTCACCTGCAGGAGTACACTACAGAGAGAGCTACACTAAAGAGAGCTACATGATGGTTCACCTGCAGGAGTACACTACAGAGAGAGCTACACTAAAGAGAGCTACATGATGGTTCACCTGCAGGAGTACACTACAGAGAGAGCTACACTAAAGAGAGCTACATGATGGTTCACCTGCAGGAGTACACTACAGAGAGAGCTACACTAAAGAGAGCTACATGATGGTTCACCTGCAGGAGTACACTACAGAGAGAGCTACACTAAAGAGAGCTACATGATGGTTCACCTGCAGGAGTACACTACAGAGAGAGCTACACTAAAGAGAGCTACATGATGGTTCACCTGCAGGAGTACACTACAGAGAGAGCTACACTAAAGAGAGCTACATGATGGTTCACCTGCAGGAGTACACTACAGAGAGAGCTACACTAAAGAGAGCTACATGATGGTTCACCTGCAGGAGTACACTACAGAGAGAGCTACACTAAAGAGAGCTACATGATGGTTCACCTGCAGGAGTACACTACAGAGAGAGCTACACTAAAGAGAGCTACATGATGGTTCACCTGCAGGAGTAGCTCAGGTTCCTCCTCACGCTGCGTTTGAAGAAGCTCTTGCAGCCCTCGCAGGTGAACACGCCGTAGTGCTTCCCGCTGGACTTGTCCCCGCAGACCACGCAGTCCACCACACACGACCTGTCCTCCTCCGCAACGTCCACATCACTGCTGCCCGCCCGGGGAGAGCCGTCCTCTTCCTCCCCCCTCCGCAGGTAAGCCTTCTCCCCCAGCCCGGTGGTCTCGCCGTTCGGACTCCCCCAGCCCCCGCTCACCATGGCCATGGTCACGGCCCCAGAGTCGCGGGGATTTTGGAGCTACTGTGTCAAACGTCAATCAAAGATGCTTTTTTTTGCTGATTTATCTCCAGACGTATACATATAAGTGTATGATTCTATTGCACTAGGAGATAAGCTAAAGATAGAGATTTCATTTTATTTTTTAAAGTATAAAATTAATGTTCCCTACTTCCTACTGGTCTTTAACTTGCGATGCAACCCTGAAATGTCCCTACTGTGGAGCGAGTAAAGGGTCTCTTCATCTTAAAAGCATGGCCATCCCCAAATGCGCAGTAAGGTTAAAAACAACCAATTTGTCACAGAAGTAATGGTGAATTTCAAAGCAACTATAAACAGAACATTTTCTACTCTGTCAAAAGTGCAAATTAGACAAGTCAATAGTTTTCCCAAGCTGCTTTTTGTCCGTAAAGTTTAGAAACAACAGTCAGAGCCGTTAGAATGAGCATTCCTCTGCCCTGTGATCATCTCCAGTGCATTTGTAAGAATAAAATCCTCCGTAGCCTGGGCTCGGTGCTCCGGGTCTCTGCCGTTATCGGTGTGTGCTAAAACATGACATTGAACAGTTCAGGGTTCAAGCTGGGAACAGTCAGGGGGAGAGAAGGTTGCAGCCCTCTTTTCACAGGAAACAATAAATTAGACACTTTCAAACTTTCCCCTTTTCCTCCAAAAAGCAGCAACTTTCTCCTTCAAACCACTTTAGGATGAAAACACTTTGTCTTCAGGCTGGGTCCTTTGCTTCTCAACCTCCAGAAACCAGTTGGACAAGTTGGGCGTTATCTACACATTGTTCTTTAGACTAGAGTCACACGGACAAGGGATGCATGGAGGAAACATGGTCCAATAGTTCATAAATAGTGAAAGTCCATTCGGCGGAACACAAACTCTTGTTTGGTTTGACTTTATAAATCCACTGAAACATGCTCAAAATCCTCCAAGACTGTCCTCAGTTTAAACAAAGCTGTGTTGTTTTCTTCAGCTGCTGCCAGTGGCTCAAATGTCACAAAAAGAAATCCCAAACAAAGTTGCGACATCTCCAACCTACAGCGGCGCTCCCGACACCATGTCCGCGGTGCGTCTTCGGTCCGCGGTGCGTCTTCGGTCCGCGGTGCGTCTTCGGTCCGCGGTGCGTCTTCGGCTCTCCCCTCCGGAACTCGGACGGGTTTCTTTGTCCTCGCAACAGTTAAAACAAAGTAAAAAACAAAACCCTGAGTGTTCTGGGAGTTGTGCCTCTTCTCCAGCAGCTCCCGGTGTTCCTGTGCTCCTGCCTGTGCGTGTGCGTGTGGCGGAGTGCGTGTGGCGGAGTGCGAAAGGATTTGACACTGCTATTCAACCCCTGCGTTGCCATGGAGCCGCATGCCCTTATAAGGACAGCAAGGTGTCAAAGAGCAAGAGAGAGAGAGAGAGCTGGACACACACACACACACACACACACACACACACACACAAGGAGTCAAAGAGCAAGAGAGAGAGAGGGGGCTGGACACACACACACACACACACACAAGGAGTCAAAGAGCAAGGGTAGAGGGAGACACACAGACACACACACACACGCGCGCGCATATAAATGCATGATTCGATGCCGTGCAAGCCCAATGTCTCTTCTGTCAACGGCCATATTATGGAACATTGTCATCCTAAATTAGACTTTGAAACTATAGTTTTGACATCATTTTCTGGTGTATTTTTCTGAACAAAACAAGTTCAGTTCTCGTACTATTTATTTGAAGAAGATTTGTAATTGTTGACTAATATGCCAAGGATTTAGATTTTGGCCTTTTTTATTTAGCTATATCTGATTAAATTTAGAATACATTGAATTACATGGTTGTTTTCTTGAGAAAATGTGCCTGAAATTGAGATTCAAAAACGTATTACAAAAGCTTTAGCAAACAGCGCAGGCCCAGCTGTGGTCAGAGAGTGTGGAGGAGGAGGAGGAGGAGGAGGTCAGAGAGTGTGGAGGAGGAGGAGGTCAGAGTGTGTGGAGGAGGAGGAGGTCAGAGTGTGTGGAGGAGGAGGAGGTCAGAGAGTGTGGAGGAGGAGGTCAGAGTGTGTGGAGGAGGAGAAGGTCAGAGAGTGTGGAGGAGGAGGAGGAGGAGGAGGAGGTCAGAGTGTGAGGAGGAGGAGGAGGTCAGAGTGTGTGGAGGAGGAGGAGGTCAGAGTGTGTGGAGGAGGAGGAGGTCAGAGAGTGTGGAGGAGGAGGTCAGAGTGTGTGGAGGAGGAGGAGGTCAGAGTGTGTGGAGGAGGAGGAGGTCAGAGAGTGTGGAGGAGGAGAAGGTCAGAGAGTGTGGAGGAGGAGGAGGAGGAGGAGGTCAGAGTGTGAGGAGGAGGAGGAGGTCAGAGTGTGTGGAGGAGGAGGAGGTCAGAGTGTGTGGAGGAGGAGGAGGTCAGAGAGTGTGGAGGAGGAGGTCAGAGTGTGTGGAGGAGGAGGAGGTCAGAGTGTGTGGAGGAGGAGGAGGTCAGAGAGTGTGGAGGAGGAGAAGGTCAGAGAGTGTGGAGAAGGAGGAGGAGGAGGTCAGAGTGTGTGGAGGAGGAGGAGGAGGAGAAGGTCAAAGAGTGTGGAGGAGGAGGAGGAGGTCAGAGAGTGTGGAGGAGGAGGAGGTCAGAGAGTGTGGAGGAGGAGGTCAGAGTGTGTGGAGGAGGAGAAGGTCAGAGAGTGTGGAGGAGGAGGAGGTCAGAGAGTGTGGAGGAGGAGGTCAGAGTGTGTGGAGGAGGAGAAGGTCAGAGAGTGTGGAGGAGGAGGAGGAGGAGGAGGTCAGAGTGTGTGGAGGAGGAGGAGGTCAGAGAGTGTGGAGGAGGAGGAGGAGGAGGAGGTCAGAGTGTGTGGAGGAGGAGGAGGTCAGAGAGTGTGGAGGAGGAGGAGGTCAGAGTGTGAGGAGGAGGAGGAGGAGGAGGTCAGAGAGTGTGGAGGAGGAGGAGGTCAGAGAGTGTGGAGGAGGAGGAGGTCAGAGAGTGTGGAGGAGGAGGTCAGAGAGTGTGGAGGAGGAGGTCAGAGTGTGTGGAGGAGGAGGAGGAGGAGGAGGTCAGAGTGTGTGGAGGAGGAGGAGGTCAGAGAGTGTGGAGGAGGAGGTCAGAGTGTGTGGAGGAGGAGAAGGTCAGAGAGTGTGGAGGAGGAGGAGGAGGAGGAGGTCAGAGAGTGTGGAGGAGGAGGAGGTCAGAGAGTGTGGAGGAGGAGGTCAGAGTGTGTGGAGGAGGAGGAGGAGGTCAGAGAGTGTGGAGGAGGAGGAGGAGGTCAGAGTGTGTGGAGGAGGAGGAGGTCAGAGAGTGTGGAGGAGGAGGAGGAAGAGGAGGTCAGAGAGTGTGGAGGAGGAGGAGGAGGTCAGAGAGTGTGGAGGAGGAGGAGGTCAGAGAGTGTGGAGGAGGAGGAGGTCAGAGTGTGTGGAGGAGGAGGAGGTCAGAGAGTGTGGAGGAGGAGAAGGTCAGAGAGTGTGGAGGAGGAGGAGGTCAGAGTGTGTGGAGGAGGAGGAGGTCAGAGAGTGTGGAGGAGGAGAAGGTCAGAGAGTGTGGAGGAGGAGGAGGAGGTCAGAGTGTGTGGAGGAGGAGGAGATCAGAGAGTGTGGAGGAGGAGGTCAGAGTGTGTGGAGGAGGAGAAGGTCAGAGAGTGTGGAGGAGGAGGAGGAGGTCAGAGTGTGAGGAGGAGGAGGAGATCAGAGTGTGTGGAGGAGGAGGAGGTCAGAGTGTGTGGAGGAGGAGGAGGTCAGAGTGTGTGGAGGAGGAGGAGGTCAGAGAGTGTGGAGGAGGAGGTCAGAGTGTGTGGAGGAGGAGAAGGTCAGAGAGTGTGGAGGAGGAGGAGGAGGAGGAGGTCAGAGTGTGAGGAGGAGGAGGAGGTCAGAGTGTGTGGAGGAGGAGGAGGTCAGAGTGTGTGGAGGAGGAGGAGGTCAGAGAGTGTGGAGGAGGAGGTCAGAGTGTGTGGAGGAGGAGAAGGTCAGAGAGTGTGGAGGAGGAGGAGGTCAGAGAGTGTGGAGGAGGAGGTCAGAGTGTGTGGAGGAGGAGAAGGTCAGAGAGTGTGGAGGAGGAGGAGGAGGTCAGAGTGTGTGGAGGAGGAGGAGGTCAGAGAGTGTGGAGGAGGAGGAGGTCAGAGAGTGTGGAGGAGGAGGTCAGAGTGTGTGGAGGAGGAGAAGGTCAGAGAGTGTGGAGGAGGAGGAGGTCAGAGAGTGTGGAGGAGGAGGTCAGAGTGTGTGGAGGAGGAGGAGGAGGAGGAGGTCAGAGTGTGTGGAGGAGGAGGAGGTCAGAGAGTGTGGAGGAGGAGGAGGAGGAGGAGGTCAGAGTGTGTGGAGGAGGAGGAGGTCACAGAGTGTGGAGGAGGAGGAGGTCAGAGTGTGAGGAGGAGGAGGAGGTCAGAGTGTGTGGAGGAGGAGGAGGTCAGAGTGTGTGGAGGAGGAGGAGGTCAGAGAGTGTGGAGGAGGAGGTCAGAGAGTGTGGAGGAGGAGGTCAGAGTGTGTGGAGGAGGAGGAGGAGGAGGAGGTCAGAGTGTGTGGAGGAGGAGGAGGTCAGAGAGTGTGGAGGAGGAGGAGGTCAGAGAGTGTGGAGGAGGAGGTCAGAGTGTGTGGAGGAGGAGGAGGAGGAGGAGGTCAGAGTGTGTGGAGGAGGAGGAGGTCAGAGAGTGTGGAGGAGGAGGAGGTCAGAGTGTGTGGAGGAGGAGAAGGTCAGAGAGTGTGGAGGAGGAGAAGGTCAGAGAGTGTGGAGGAGGAGGAGGAGGAGGAGGTCAGAGAGTGTGGAGGAGGAGGAGGTCAGAGAGTGTGGAGGAGGAGGAGGAGGTCAGAGAGTGTGGAGGAGGAGGAGGAGGTCAGAGTGTGTGGAGGAGGAGGAGGTCAGAGAGTGTGGAGGAGGAGGAGGAAGAGGAGGTCAGAGAGTGTGGAGGAGGAGGAGGAGGTCAGAGAGTGTGGAGGAGGAGGAGGTCAGAGAGTGTGGAGGAGGAGGAGGTCAGAGTGTGTGGAGGAGGAGGAGGTCAGAGAGTGTGGAGGAGGAGAAGGTCAGAGAGTGTG